CGTCACCTCCCTGATCTGCCTCGTCGTTCGTTACCATCGCCAATACTTCCGAAAAGTGCTCCTTGAGGTCGTCTATCGTAGGGCGATGCCTGTTACTCCGAAGTTTACCATCACTCACTAGGTACGGGATGTCATCCTTGACCTGCAAGTGCACGAATCCCTGCTTTGGCGTAACCATGAAAGGTAGTTTACCAGGCATCCAGTGAAATGCATAACCCATCTTCATGCATCTCCTCCCCACTGACAATACCGTGGGTGTCTCATCCAATACATGCGGCTCGACAGTCTCGTCCAACTCTTCCACGACTATCTTGGCCACATCAGATGTGGAAGTGGAACCATTCGCGGTCTGGAACACGATCTCGTCGTCATCTTTCACGATGTCGACACCCAGGCTCTTCGCCTTGGCTCTTCCAATGAGATCATGACCACATCCGGTGTCAATCAACCATTTCACCCGTTTGCTGATGCACGTTGACATGGCGAAAACGTTCTTCGGCATACCATGCTGCTTCTTCCAGTCGACAGCCGATTCCTTGATCTCGTCCTTGTTCCGATCATACTCGAACATTATGCTGCTCTCCTTGGTCACCGGGAAGTAGTGCCTCTTATATATATCATCCACCACTTCTCTCAGTATCTTCGCACGTATCAATGATCGTTGGACTTGATAGGCTGATTATTCACGATGATCACTGCTTTTGAACTTCTTCTCGTCGACGTACACGTACTGATAAGGCTCATTCTCATTGTCCTCATAACCGTACCATTCCCCTTTTCGTTCCCATTGCCTTCTCTCGTCTTCGAGGTAGGTGATCTCCCCATTCTCGTCGACGTCGAGCACTTCCTTGAAACACACCATTTTCTCGGGGATCTCGGACTCGCCAGACCATCTCGATGATTCGCTCATCGCGTCGTCATCGTGCTCGTGGTAGACAGTCTCGGCTTCGTCCGGTTCGACCTGATCAACGTCCTTCTTGAAGCTTACCTTCCCTGCAGGAGCCGATTGCTTCAGGACTATCGCGGGCATTGCGATGGCCCTCCTCGCAATTGCAGGCGCTGCGGCTTTGGCGGCAGCCTTCGACTTGGCTTGCGCCTTGTCATTTGACGTTGCTGGAGCTGAATTGTTCTCGATGAGCTCATGCCTATACTTGCAAGCGCTTCCCTTATCGCACTTCCCCTTCTGAAACGCGAAGCATGCTCCATCATCTCTCTTTGGTGACGATGATCTGGAATTGGATTTGCCCTTTCCTTTCCCCTTGGACATGCTCTCCAACTTATGCTCCGTCTTCTTGCTGTGGGAAAAAGTGCATTCATTTCCTTTCACGCACCCCTTCGCCGATTTGAAGTGGTACCAGCAGGGGTTATCCTTGCTTCCGCCCGGACTCTTGCCTCTGTCGCTGGCACCGTCGGACTTGCCGTTCTTGCCAGCGTGGCCCTTTGCCTTGGCTTTTGGGAGCACAGGAGCGGCATCAGGTCCACCGGGTTTCCCCTTTCTGCCCTTGCCACCCTGGTTCTCCTGTTTGCCAGTTGCTGGAGCCGCATCCTTCCCGCCTGACTTCATCATCGACTTGACCGATTTCTCCTTCATGTCGAGCATCAGGTCTTCCCGATCTGCCTTGATCTGATAGTCGATCAACGCCAATAGGAATTCATACGTCTTCTGAGGATGCTTGTCCGGTAGTCTATGGTAGGCATTGAGGCCGAACTCCATCTTCTTGCTCCCTTTGATCTTCCTGTAAAGGATGTCTCTGAGAGCCAGCTTACTGGGTCTGTCCTCGCTCCTCATCTTCAGCAGCAAATCATACCATTTGTTCCTGAACATGACCAAGTTCTTGTCGCCAGGAAAGTCAAGGTTGAATAAATGCTCGATGTGGTAGACAAGATCCGTTCTATCGGAAGTTCTGAATGATTGCATAACTAATGCCACCAACTCTCGTCCCTTCACGATCACCCCTTGTTGATGTCGTAGTTCAGAGTGTCGTGTAGCATCGAGGTATACGTCCTTGGCTTCGTCAGGTGCTTGTTTCAGCATGTTCTGCATGCCCATGGCCATCTTAATATCTATCGTAGCAAATCTGTCGCCACCTGAATCGCTAAGCAAATCCAGGTCTGGGTTCAACCCAAGAGCCTGCTCCAGCCATTTCGTCCATGCGTCGGTATCTGGATCTGCACATGCGCTCAGAACATTCATCAGCAGTTGCATCTTCCAGGTGTCAAGTTGATGGATCTTTGGCCAGGCCGGAATAGATACTCTCTCGGCCTCTTTCCTCGAGATTCTCGGTCGATCATTCTTGATCTCTCGGTTATCTCTCGATCTCCTTCGTCTCCTCCGTGTCCGATCGTCTTCTTCCTCTTCTTCTTCCTCGTCTTCCTCATCTCCTTCGTCGTCGTCATCCTCATCCTCATCATCGGGTGGATCATCCGGAGGTCCTCCTCCGCCACCAGCGAGGCTCAACTGACGTCGACCCGCTCCCTGCCCATTCCCATTGGGCGGGAATCCACCGTAATCCAATGGGGGCGTAGTACCGTTGTTTCCCCCCCCATCACCACCACCAGTCGTAGTAGTGGATTGTGGGACATGCCCAACAACCCCTTGCATCTGGGATAGGTGTACATCGATCATTGGATCACCGAAAGACGGAAAGAGGATCGAACCTGGCATCAGCGACGAATTAGGGATTTGATTTGAAGACGATGACGGGACTGACCCAGCCACCTTCTTGTCTATCCTATTTGAATTAGCCTGGGTTCCTCCCTCAGCGCGTTTCACTACTGCTCGTTCACGATGTCCATCTTTGCTGCTGGAGGCTTCCTGTGTCTCCAGCTTCTTGTGTGCACGTAGTTCCTCGTTGTCAGCATCGAGTTGGCGTACAAAACTCTCTTCTTGCTTGAGCGTCGCCTCTCTTTCTTTCAGTTGTCTCTGAAGCTCATGCATCTCCTCGAGGTACTCATCGTACATTCCCTTAGCTGTCAATCTCCAGTACTCAGCCTCCTTCGACTTCTCGTCCATCGTGCACCGTTCTTCTTGTTTCTCTTCTTTGACCTGGGCTAACTCCAAGATCGCATCCTGACGATGACCACCTTCGACAGCAATCATCTGGTCCTTCATCGACACGTCGGACTCATACTGTTTGACGATCTCTTCTTTTTCGCGAAGCAAGCAATCTGCTCTCTTCGATTCCTGTTCCGCAAATACTGTAACGTCATTCAGCCTCGCCATCAGCTGTTCCCTGGAGTCCTCCAAAGAGTACGTCTCGGGGCGCTTGACGAGTGCATGCTCCAACTGTGATTTCAGACTTTGGACCATCTCCTCCTCGTTGAACTTCTCGATAGATGTAGAAGATTCTATGCCTCTGATCTGTTGCTGATAAACTGATATCTGTTGTGAAGCTTCACGGTGTATCTGATTTGCACGTATAGCTGATTCCTGCGCAGCCGACTTCTCGCTTGCCATGTAGGATTTCATCAATGCAATCTCCCGCTTCTGCTCCATGATAGTTCCTTCAGCTTGTCTCATCTGTTGCATTATAATATTCGACTCCATGTCTTTCTTCTCCCCGTACTGAAATGCGTTCATTTCCACCTTGCGCATCTGTTGGGCTTCTTCCTCAAACTTGCGCCATGCCTCAGCCATGTGGTGTTGGTGGTGACTCACTAGATGTCCCGACTGCTTGCTGGCAATCTCGCATCGTCTTTCCAGCTCCTGGATCCGGATGGTGCTTCCATAGTCTTCTTGGTTAAGATTCGCCATTGCTGCCGACATCTCATCAAGTGTCTTCTGATATTCCCCGATCTCCACCTCCATCTTATTCTTCTCTTTGATCACGGCGCGAAAATCTGCACTGGTGGGTGATTTTGACCTCCCACCCTTCGATGTCGATCTCACGCCCTTCTGCGACGTCCGTGGTGTCGCAGGCGAAGATGATGATCTTCTCGGTGGGGATTCTCTTTTCTTCGACTCCTGATGAACATCGATCTGCTTCCATGATCTTGTGGGAGTAGATATGTCGCTGAATAGCGCGGAACCTCCGCTCCCAGGTTCATCCTGTGAATCTGCAACCATATCCATCACCGCAGGAAGAGCCATCAATCCATTGGATCCCTCTGAGCTGCTGTTCCCAAAAGTTGCAGTACTTGGGCTCGCCGAAGACGCCTTTGTACTGTGTAGGTTATCGTTCCTTTATTGTCCCTGTACCCGCAATAAACCAGCTGTCTCCCAGTCCAGTGTAGAGCTTGTAGTTACGGCTGATAACCTGTCAAGAGACGGCAAGTTGACGTCCCGTGGGACGCTATGCACCGAACCCTCAAGCTGTAATACCAACCACGTAGAAAGGTGTATACGGACGATGCCGTTATAGCCGAACCCGTGTAAACGTTGTAAGGGAGAAGGAATGATAGTTACAACAGTGGTCCTGACAAATGCAGCGCAAGCAGTTGTTTCCGCTCTTAATGCCGATCACGTAGGTATGCAGTCACACATCAGATCTTGAACCTCAATTGTGTCTTGAGCCAAATGGCGATCAATGGAACTTGGGAAGCAACACCAACAAGGACCTCAGAACAGCTACCCAATTTCGGCACGGGGCCTAGAGGGTTTTAACACTACATATGGTGTGACTTGACGCCTGCGTCTCTCCAGCGTCTACAAGGCTTGCATTGTCCTGACCAGTTTGCAATACCTGAGATTCCCTAATATATAGGTTTCCCTCTGCTGCACACATGCTGACACATGACCGCCACAGATGTTGAAGCAGCCTCACTCTTGCAGATCTTGCCCTCCTGCAATGGAAAGTGATGACAAAGTAAGCGACTTGATATGTACTTGCTCTGACTTGTTGTCTCTATATCTCTCTCTGTTTTGGGAATCCATGACTTGCAATGGGTTGACATTTTCATGCTTGACATCAACAGCACCTTGACACCACAAGCATGCAGCACAAGCTTGAGAGCAAGCCAACTGCGTGAAAACATTGACCTGGCTCCCTTCCTCCACGCGCTTCTCTTCCGCCTTCTTCTTGGCCATCTCTCGGATGTTCTGCTCCGAGGCTCTTCTCTGCTGCTCTCTCTTGTCCTGCGCCTCGCCGCCCAACTGAGTGTCCAGCCACGGCTTCTCCTTGGCCACACGGTTGGCCTCATCCTGCAGGCCACATCCACCTCCCAAATCCCCAGGAGACTTCTCCAAAGCACCTTGCGAAGCCGCTCCTGCTCCACCTGCACCACATCCTTGCGAAGCCGCTCCTGCTCATCCACCACTTCCTTGCGTAGCCGCTCCTGCTCCGCCTCCACCGCCTCCTTGCGAAGCCGCTCCTGCTCCGCATGCACTCCTCCACCGCTTCCTTGCGTAGCCGCTCCTGCTCCGCCTCCACCGCCTCCTTGCGAAGCCGCTCCTGCTCCGCCTCCACCGGCTTCCTTGCGTAGCCGCTCCTGCTCTGCCTGCACCGCTTCCTTGCGTAGCCGCTCCTGCTCCACCTGCGCCGCCTCCTTGCGTAGCCGCTCCTGTGCTTCCTGCTCTGCTTCCTTCACCTTGCGCAGGCGATCCTGCTCTGCTGCCTTGTGCTGAGCTTCCTTAGCCGGGGCTGCGCCCACCTTCTCCTTCTCATACTGCAAGCGTGCTCGTTTGCGCGCTGCCTCATCAGCATCCTGCGGACAGAGCGCATTGCAACTGTTTTTTTGTGGCACTACACACCACGCACGCCTCAGTGTCACAATGAACTTCAACCACACAAACTTAAAAAGAACAACCTCACACATGTGATCGACAGGTCACAGCATGCATGTGCATGCTAGCCACTTCGCACACTCATGCATGCAAGGAGAGATGATTGCTAACCGCTTCGTGCAATGATTGGACATTCATGCATGCAAGGAGCAGAGGCAAAGGCACACACATGCACACAGCACTCACGCATGATCGTACAATGGCTGCACACTCATGCGTGACAGGAGCAGAGGCCACACTCATGCATTCAAGGGTCAGAGGCAAAGGCACACACACACACACATGCATGACAGGCACACACACAGCATGTTTGCTGACCACTTTATGAGTGACTGCTGCAGGGAACACAAGCAAATATCATGGCACACATGCACGCATGGACTCGCACCTCCGCGTGGACAGGCGCACCCACAGACATGGACGGCTTGCCCGGAGCCAAGTGCCCTGCGTTTTCTTCAACATAGACCTGTCCTGCCAAGGCAAGGATCTTCAGCTGTACACAGGTGGCCATGCACTGCTGATGAGAGGCCTGGCACGTGAGACTGATGACCGGGCACACCCAGCGTAATGAATCCTTTATCGCCAAGCGCAGACTGTAGCTGCCGAATGGCAGCCAGCTTCTCCTTCACGGGCCACACACACATGCATGATAGATATATCACACACATGCAGCATCTGGTCATCAACAGATCCACAACTTGATGTCGTGTCCATCCGTAGCATACGCAACCCTTGGTCCACGCTATCACCCGACATATCTTGTGCCAGAAATGCTCAGCTCATCATGCATATATTGCGCTGACTGATCGCTGGAATTATGATCGCTGGAAATTCCTCCCGGGGTGATCACCGGAAAATACTGACCTGATTGCTGGAAATTCTGATCGCTGGAAATTGCCCCTTGGGGTGATCGTCAGAAATTACAAATTGGGCAGATTTTGGAATAGCGCCCGTTTGCACATTTTTGTGCCCGGATAGCACTTTTTTGCGCCCGGTTTGCAAACCCCCAAAATTAGGGTTCCCAGCGATCAGCTGTATTTCCAACGATTGGCGTGCTATAGCATGCATTTTTTAACGATGACAGTACATGCTTTCCTGAATATTGTTGTACTGTTGCACTAGGTCTGCTGCAGGCCCGGCAGCTTGTAGCGAGCGCACGAATTCACACATGGTGGTTTCCCAACTATATGGGATGTGCACCTTGGGTGACTCATACAAATGCATGAGCACAGGGACCAGCTCAGCATCTGACCATACGTCTCCAGTTGGCAATTGTTCAAACATTTCCCGGTCACTAAGCAACTCATGACCAGGTAGCTCACTCTTGCGCCTCCCATGCACATGGCACATTTATACACACATTCAAAACACATGCCACAGCAGCATGCATGAAAGTACAACGCCAGCCTCAAACTGCCTCGGTCTTGCGGGGCTTCTTCAGCCCATAAGCGAAGTAGGCGGCGCCCAAAAGCAGGCGGGTACTGCCTACACCCAACACGCCACATGATATGTCGTGTTTGAGCACATAATGTTAACGACTGAGTTTCGGGCTGGGTCTCCTTTAGCGCTGGCAACCCAGTCCAAGCTTTACCTTTCCGTCCTAAGTGCTCATTGAAGCACATGTTAACATGCAAGTAGCACACAAGCTTGCGCACACTCATACTCACAAGGTCGGCACGAGAAGTCTTCACGCATGTGCAGCGTGTTCGCACTCCATTGGCGAGGCGCCCCAAATCCATACCATGGATATGGGCCCAAGTAGAGCGTAGGTGAAGCCGTTTGGGGCTTTTGCTCCCAAATAGCATAAGCCATAGTGATGTCTTGTACACCTGCAAGCTCGTACACAAACCCACGTGGCTCGTAAGAACATGACAAGCAACGTGACGCATAGCACAACTGGCTTAATATTTGCCAAGGCTCCCACGCCACGATGTTTTCAAGCCATTGCCACCTACCATTCTCGAACAAGAGGCTTGCACGAGGCTGTTCCACAATAAAGTGGCACTGCCGGCTGAGCAGCACAAGGCACACCAGGACTAGCCTGCAAGCACACACACACATGCACATTCAAGCTTGAGACTGCACATGCACAGGCAGGATTACATGCTGACCAGGCTCCGCGCCACTTGCAGGTTGCCACTAACCACAAACGGGTAGCCAACCCCTTGCACGTTTAGCAAGGCGCGCATGGTTGTAGATCTTGCAGGCATCCCCCCTACACATTGGCCCGGCCAGGCGTAAGCAGCCCGTGTGTAGCTTCATGGCAGCATATAAGGCCACCCTTAGAATGCAAGAGCAAGACACATGTAAGCACACCCAGATGCAAGACTACACCTCAGCTCCCAGCAGGAACCCCGATGTAGATCCAAAATCGTGCGAACGTGGGGAACTCGGGCAATACAGTATGTCAAAGTGGGCCACATTGAAGCCCGCCCGCTTCCTGGCCAACATTGCATACCCAAGCTAACAATCATTGCACACACACTCACATGCACATGCTCAGATGCACACATGCGCACATCATGGGGCAAGCGCCATTCTTTGCTGGCTGCACTGCAGCCACTGAAGAGCTCCAGAAACTGGAACTCCGGAGCACTCCAGTCGAATTGCTCCGACCACAGCATGAGCAAGACCTGACCAGAGACAACAACAAGTTAACTTGTTGCCTCCAGAGCTCAACAGCTAGTTTGTGCCCTGAGGCACTGGCAATGCCCACCAACACCTTCACAACATGCTTGCTGAACAAGATGGATCAACCCAAGCCGGGCCTTGGGCGCTGAACAATTGATCAACAGCTGCACCATGCTGCCGCGCTCATGCATGGTGGCAAACCCTGGCATGATCATGCATGCATTCGTGCAGCTTTAACCCTATCACGCATGCATGGCTTTCAGAGCATGAGGCACCTACACATGCATGCATGCATGATCAGCAGCCCTTGGGCCGGCAAGCACATATGCATGAGCAAACATTTGCAAGCACACAGCTGCAATCCTGAACGCATTGAAGACATGCATGTGGGACTTCAATGCACTCATGAGGCATGAGATGGGCCTTCCATCATCGCATCCTCGGCCCACATGATGAGGTACCTGGAAAGCAGGCAACGTGTGATCATGACATTTTGCAACACATGCAGACAGCCGCGCATAGGACGCAGCAGGCACACACACAGCTTTTTTGGTGCTCAGAAGCAGCTACAGTCTTCATCTTAACGGCTCCTAAAAGGTGCATCAATTCCAGAAACCAACTGCTGTAAGGGGACCATTGCCATCTCAGTAAGGAAATTGTGTTTTCCACAGGTGTGGCAGCATTGCTCAAAATATAAGGTCTGGGGTTACGCAGGTTGTAGCCTGTGTTTATGCATCAAAGCTGAGTTCCACTTTTTGAGCAACTTGTTTTGAGCCACAGCCACTTGTCAGATGCATGGTTCCTTTCAGGAGCCCGTCTTGCTCAGGCGCAAACGCCAACCTGGAAACAGCACACATGCGTGGATGCAGAGATTAAAGGACACCGGCGCCTGCCAGCAAAAAAGCCAGCCTGGAAACAGCACATGACACACAAACACGTTCTACCCGCTGAAGCGTGGCGGGAGGACCAGGCCGGGATCATGTCGCCGAAGTGGCCAAGTCCTGCAACGAGAATTACACAGACACATCATATAACATGCCTCAAACCATCATGCATGGCATGCATGAGATGCAGCCTTTACCGACGAGGTCGCGCAGATCTCCGGTTCAGCACCTTCATGAATGTGCCACACATGCACGTGAGTGCAACATGTCATGCATGAATGTGATGTGTCACATGCTGTGTGTGGAATGAGATGCAGAAGTTGATTAGCTGCGGGTGATGCTCCTGGTTGTCATGGGTGCTGCTCTGATGTGTGGCTGTGGCTCGCACATGGGTTTTGCTCGCACTCAAGTGTGGCACTGGAGTTGCTCATGCATGGGTGTTGCTCATGTGTGGGTGTTGCTGGTGTTGCTCATGGGTGTTGCACATGCGTGGGTATTGCTGGTGTTGCTCAAACATGTTGCTCATGCATGGATGGAATTGCGTGTGTTGCTGGTGCAGGATGCCGGATGTTGCTCATGCATGGAAGTTGCTCATGCGTGGATGTTGCTCATGCATGGATGTTGCTCATGCATGTTGCTCATGCATGGATGCCCCGCCTGCGGAGGTGGTGGCACCGGTGGCCACCAAGGCTTGGGCGCCGCCGCCGGTTTTGGCGGCGGCGTGTGGCACAGGCCGGGGCACCTTTGGCCGTGGAGGGCCAGACAGCCTGCGCCTCAGGATGTCGCTTGGCCTGCTTGGGGCCGCTTCCGGGCAAGCGGGGGGCGACCGCGGCCGTGCTTTCACAGCAGGCGGTCCTGCACCAGCGGCGCCAGTGTTCAGCGGCCTCTTTTTCGGCCTGCATGCATGTTGCTAAGCCAACACTCACACAACGCGTGCATGCACGTGGCACTGACAAAGCTGAACACGCCTCGCTTTGCTGGGCAGCTTCACCGTGCGCGTGCCCGAAATCGTGTCCTGAACGGCCAAAAGGCCGGTGAGCACTTGCATCGTCGAAACCACGTCCCTGCGGGCGGCGACCGCGTCCAAGTTGCCGCCCTGCAAAGCATCAGCACATGCATGCACACATGGCTCAAATGGCCTTCCCATGGCCCCGAAACATGGCGCCAGGCGGTTGGCAGGCCCTGCAGCATGTCTTGCACACCCACATGCACAGGCATGTGCACATGCATGGTTCAACACATTATTCAAAGCTCAGCCCACTGCAGGGTTCACGGCCAAGAATGCCTGCCGGGTCGTCCTGGAGACCGTCAACGTCACCTAGTGGCAGCAGCACGCACAGCACAAAATGTACTCGCACTCGCCTCTGCTGCTGCAGCTCCCGCTCCTCCCGCTCCTCCCGGTGTTC